CCACTTCATTTCCCTGCTATGGATTAGAGGACAGTTATAAAGCACCATCATCATTAAAATGGCAGCCAGATGGTTCAATGGTGAGAAAATTTCTCCCCACTATGGGTGAACATGTCATTACTGCATTCAGTCCACTCAAACTTATGCAGGCCATAGACGGTTCGTTTATAGGCCGAATTTTCATCCGAAAGAATAATCGGCCGATATTCGCACCGTTAGTGGGGCAATGTCATCGTCCGATTTTCGCAGTTCCTCCTCATTTCTTTTATCAGTCATGGAAAATTTACGAAAAACAGCCGATTTTCGTAATCATTGGTAGCAGCAGAACGACCGATTCTTCGTTTTTCGGCCGAAAATTCAGACGATAAACGAACAGTCTATGGCCTGCATTAGCGATCACTTTTACCAGGTGTCACAGGGACATAGCCTCTGCTCAGTTTTAGGGCAAGTGTGTAGCAACAGGTATTGATCTTGATGTCCTTGTCGTACTCAGTCCTAGTATTTAAACACTTGCTGACCGCAGATAGTCGAATGATGGCTTCACTGCGGCCGGCCAGTTCTGGGAGGGCGTCGTATGGCTGTTAACATTGAAAGGCTGTTAACATTGAAAAGAAAGTTGCGCTTTGCAAGGGAACTTTCCCTACATCTTAGTAAATGAGGTGCAGCTCTGCTGACTTCTATCATCCAATCATGCACAAACAATAATTGTCCTTGCATGTGATTGGTTATTCTTTGCAAAGTAAAATTTCACTACTTTCACTAGGCTCTGGGGAAAATTCCTTTGCAAAGCGCAACTTCCCTTATAAAGTGAACAGCCTATTTTACCTTCGTAAATCAACACCAATATGTATTTTAGGCGAATGTGTTTCAGAATAGTAAACTTTTTTAGAAAGCAAGTTCAAGTCCTAGGGTATATACTAATCTGTAGTTTGGATCATAGAGGTATACAGTATTTAATAATTTGGCTCAAGGGCATAATAGCCCAGTGTTAATCCAGTAGCTGTTCCCTACAAGAAGATAGCTCTACTCCCATACTGGAGTCCTGTGAACTGGGGGGTCTCTGTAGTTTGGGGGCTTCTAAGGATGGCGGTGTTGTGCAAACCTTCATGTTGGAGGGGTGTAGGGTAGCGGTACGGTGTGTGGGGAGGGATCGATTGGAAGGGGCCTGGGGAGGGAGGATTGAGGTTGCAATTAGGTGAGCCTTTAGAAGAATCCTTAGTATTACTAGGTTTGTCGAGCAGCTCTGATGTTGGAGGAGCGTGCCAATATGTTGGCAGGATGGCAGATCTAGACCCAGCTTGCCGTCATGCTGGGGGGAGAGAGAGTTCTTGGTGGGATCCAAATAGAACTTTATGCCTGGAGGTACCTCCATAATATGTTGATATTTTTTTTCTTTAAGATTGCTGTTATGCCAGTTATTATATTCACTATTTGCGATTTGTACTGTATGTTTCATTTCATTTCCACTGGCCTAATGAGATGTAATTACAAGGAAAAAGCTCTGAAGTTGGAGGAGAGTGTCAATATGTTTGGCAGGATGGAAAATCTTGGCTCATTTTGCTATCACACTGGGGGAGAGAGTTTCCATTGGGATTCATAAAGACCTTCATGCCTGGAGGACTCCCCCCTCCCCTATAATATTCTGTTATGGTTTTTTTTAACTTGCTGTTATGCCATTTACTTTTTTCATTGTTTGCAATTTGTACTGTTTGTACAACTGTCCCACTGAGATGGTATGACTTACTGTATGTAGGTAAGAAGCAATATGGCTTATGGGTGTGCTGTAACAGACTAGACTGTGGTAGCATTAGCTATATACAGTAAGTTGTGATGTGTTCCAGGAGCAGCACGGGTGACTATTTAAAGTGACATTAAACATAGAATTCTACTTTAAATTGCTACACAGAGAGAGAGTTGTACACCTTTGGGAACTTTGTATGAAGTTTATTTTTGGGGATTTTTATTACAGATTCATCTTCACATATATTTTGCACTAATGAATTTATTGCTAGTTTTGTATGTTTGTATATTTATTATCTATTTAGTGGTAAAATGTTGTTGTAATGGTTTTGCTGAGCGTTTAATTACACTTTTTTTTTACGAAAGAGATAAACATTGAATACACCATGGCAAATATACAACAGCACCATTTTGGTTTATTCTGCAATATTAATTTTATCAAAATATGTTTCTGTGTATACATTCTTGGGAAAAAAAACTTCAGATCTTTGCTTACAAAAATAGGTTTTTGAATTAGTTATTTGTTTTTTTTTTCAATATATGTTCTTCTTTAAGTCACTTTTTGGTATCAAGAAACAAAGACCATGAATTAACATAAAACCCAAATGTTTGTGTCTGAACTCAGTTATACACAATGATTATTTAGAACATTTCAGAAACTAGAAACAACATCTCACATTAATTATTTTGTAGGTGCAACATAACATAACACAAGACTTAGAACAGCACAATTAGGTATGGTAAAATATTTCAAGCTATAGAGGATGTGTGCCTAAAAAGTTTAAATTATTGCTTAAAAAATGTCTAACTGCTGAAAAAAAGGTTAAAATGTTTTTACACGTTAATTTAAAATTGTGCCCCACCTTCAGTTTACTGAAGACTTGCAGCAACAGCTATACGCTCATCTTAGAGCTGTTTACAATTTAACTGCATAACAAATCTGTCTATGAGCGGTGTTAGATATGAAGGGGCAAGCCATCAAACTAGTTTTAACCTGCATCCTTTGCCATCACACATGGGTTGATAGGTGTACCTTAAAGAGATAACCTCCTTTGAGGGAAATGCACAAACCTAGGAAACAATGTATACATTAGAGAAGTTGCTAGGATCTCAATGGACTCGGCACATGTCTAACAATGGTAAGTGTTGCACACAAGGGATACCATAGTAATCTGTCAGCCTAGATTATGTGCAGTTTATGAGGACAACATTTAAGCTAAAACTCGGAGGGAAAAGCCACACATAACGCAATCAAAGGATTCAAATCACACAAATGTCATTTGTCCACGAGATAGGACAAATGACCCCACCATTCGTAGGGGTAAAGCCATAATCAAAGAGACATTTGACATGACTCCCATGGATGGGATTTTTAATTTCAGAAGGTGAAAACCTTACCATTTGGGGCAGATTAGCACTAGCATTGGCTGCCAAATCAACTAGTGACACAGAAGGCAAGAAAGAAAAATATCTATTTTTAACACTGACTGTATTTGTTCCCAGATTCCCTGAGCCATGGGTATGCATCTCTGAGTATAATAGCCATGTTCTGATGTTTTTACTAAGAAAACAAAGCATTTTTGTGTAATATTGTAGTATTAAGCATATAAATCCAATTTGGCAAAATGCCAAATAAAATGACATCATACAGTTACATAAATAGTAAGTTGACATAAAGGTTTTCTTACGTACACAATTTCCTATCTATCTTCTTGTATAACAAGAAGACTCTTGAATTTCTCAATAATTGACAGGAGACCTTTACATCGTATTGCACTTTTCATTTTGACTACAAAATATGGCAAAATGTATTTACAGCTAAAAAACAGCCAGATAGCAATTAGCTGTTCTATGTTTTTGGTCAGTCTACAAAAATGTACACTTGTCAGTTATTCAAATTTCTAAACTGGCTAGCAGTGCCTTCAGAGACCTTCATATCTTTTTTCAAACACCCTAAATCCTAGCATACGCTGTTAAACAAATTATGAAAAGTCCCTAAAATGCTATTTGCTGGTCTACACGATCCTGCACTTTGGTACTGACAAATAATTATAATGGAAAAAGCTCTTTACCATTGGGGTTGGGGTGCAATGGGAGCCAACAATACTCACTGCAGGGAACAAGTGAAGTTTGAATATTAGTGCTTCCTAGTATTTGAGGCTTCTTGTGTTGTGTCCAAGAAGACAATTGAAGATAGGTGGTACTTATAACCAGTTTAGAATGTATGTATAGCTAATAGGTGTACTTTAAATAATACAGTAATAGATTGTCATCAATGTTTTTTTTTAATAATACCAAAAATGTAAACCTTCTAAATGGATTAACGTGAGACTACAAATTGTTACAATTGTAGGGTTGCCCATTTACAGATCCAACCTTTTCTGTGCAGCTGCAGCCCTTTTGATTGCCAACAGAATAACAAATAACATCTATGTGCACAGTAGCCACTAGTAGATAAAATGTATGTTTGTAGGCTCTACTCCATAATATACAGAACTCAAAATAAAACAAAAATGCTGCACATTTTGCTTTGCTATAATAAATAAACTAAACCACTCTTTTCATCTTCATTAGAGGGCTGAGCTCTCTGTATCTCACTTGCAGATCAGGTCAGCCATCATTGATGTCTGCACAGTCTGCAACTGCGATGACATATTGGTTCTCTGCATTTGTATTTGAAGCACTTCTTGTCTTTGGTAATAAGCACAGTACAGCATCTGATTATTGCTGGCTGCAGTGACAGTATACATCTTCAAAGTTTGACCTTTACCTAGATGGATCGGTGAAATCCAGAGTTTGAACCCAAGGAAAATGTTTTAATAAACCTGAAAAGCAGTGGTGAAAAGTTGTGATTTACCAGATTATCTTCTTACAGTTATGTATGCTGTTATCTACAATGGTTCCTGAACCAAAGGCAAATAACACAAGTAAGGGACATATGTGGGATATTACCAATATGCTGTATAAGGGAGTTAATGAACAATACATTACATAAGCTACCCCAAAGAAGGCACAAAACACATGTTCCAGAGGGAACAGCTTTTGTGATCCAATTAAGATTTAACAAACACACCCATAAAAAAGAATATGTTGTTAGTACTATGTGCATGGATACAGACGTATCCTGTTTATAACAATTGTTGCAATCAACATCTGAAAATTTGGTCCACTTCTTTATATACAGGTGCATCTTCTTTCATAAAAATAATATTCCTTTGGTTAGTCTCTTTTGAAGAGTCATAATTTATCTCCTTGATGATTCATGTGCATTTCTCATTGTCTTCTCCAGTCTTCTGAACCCTTGCATATGTTTTACATGAAGACTTAAAGCAGCTGGGAGGCCATGAGATGGGCCAGGAGAAGGAGCATGGAATAGAAGCCTGGACATTCTTCTCAAAAAAGAAAAACACAGGAAACCACCAGGACCGGGAAAGGAAATTAGTTGGAGATGAAGTCTTCAATGCCTAAAACAAAGGTTAAGCCAATTTTATTACATTTTACAGGGAACTTTGAAATCTAGTCAATACATCAAGATTTATGACATACATTGTTTCATCTTTCAAAATACAGCAGAATCTTTAAATATGCTGACCCTGATTTGACAGACTGCATGTCTAATCTAATAATAAAGGATGGTTGGATATGACAGATAATATTCATATCTTTGCAGGGTACACCACATGGACTTAACAAAGATATAGCTTAACAGAGCTCATTAGGAAGTACTCTAAGCAATCTTTCATTTAGCCAAGAAAAAAGTACTCTCACATGATTGGAACATAAGCTATCATGGCAATCATCTGCACCCATCAAATGTCCAATGACTGTTCAATAATTAAAGGTGCAATGAAGTAAGCACATCATAGACAGGGTTTCATTTCTTAAAAAGTGTTATAATTCATTAAATAACCCCTTGTAGAATGGTAATTCAGTGCTTCATACAGCTCTCAGCTACTTAAATTGTTGGAAAAGTCAAGACCAGCTTAAGTCGAGACCCATCTGCTCTGAGACCTGATAGATTCCAGTGATGTTTATATACCATGAAACCCCTAGAATTTGTTTCTGATAACGGAACATACCTTTAAACAGTCCCCATGCACGCAGAGAGCTACAGAGCAGATCCAGAGCTTATACAGCCCTTAGGTGGTCATTATGATTATGAGATAAAATAGTGAACAGCCAACTCCATTGGAAAGAGGGTACATTAAGTATACACTCACTGGCCACTTTATTAGGTACACCTGGCTAGTGCCAAGAAAATATCCCCCACACCATTACACCACCAGCAGCAGTCTGAACCGTTGATACAAGGCAGGATGGATCCATTACACCAGCACCAGCCTGAACCATTGATACAAGGCAGGATGGATCCATTACACCACCAGCAGCAGCCTGAACCGTTGATACAAGGCAGGATGGATCCATTACATCAGCACCAGCCTGAACCATTGATACAAAGCAGGATGGATCCATTACACCAGCACCAGCCTGAACCATTGATACAAGGCAGGATGGATCCATTACACCAGCACCAGCCTGAACCATTGATACAAGGCAGGATAGATCCATTACACCACCACTAGCCTGAACCCCTGATACAAGGCAGGATGGCTCCATTACACCACCAGCAGCAGCCTGAACCATTGATACAAGGCAGGATGGATTTATTACACCAGCACCAGCCTGAACCATTGATACAAGGCAGGATAGATCTATGCTTTCATGTTGTTTATGCCAAATTCTGACACTACCATCTGAATGTTGCAGCTGAACAGGTCTGCCCATTCTCCTCTGACCTCAACAAGCTATTTTTGTCCACACAACTGCCGTTCACTGAATATTTTCTTTTCTTCAAATCATTCTCCGTAAACCCTAGAGATAGTTTTGAATGAATATCCCAATAGATCAGCAGTTTTTTAAATATTCAGACCAGCCCCTCTGGCACCAACAACAATGCCATGTTCAAAGTCACGTACATCCCCTTTCTTCCCCATTCTGATGCTCGGTTTGAAATTCAGCAAGTCATGTTCTAGATCCCTAATTGCATTGAGTTGTTGCTATGTGATTGGCTGATTAGCAATTTGTGTTACCAAGCAATTGAACAGGTGTACCTAATAAAGTGGCCGGTGAGTGTAGTGAGCAGAAAGGGGTATATTAAGTATATATTCTGCTAGCATTTAGACCTCTTTGTAGAGAAGACAATTTACAAGTAATAGAAGCAGACCATAGCTATCATTCAGGGGGTTAATAATCAATTAATTATGATCCCACCAGTTTCATAGAATACTTTGTCAAACAGGACTGGCTGTTAAGAAGTCAAACATTTTCCAGGACTCAAATTGTATTCAAGATGAGTTCTTCTAGTTTGCCATGCATTCTATTTATTTTTTTAAATGGTCTGCAAAGGAACATAAGTAAAAGTGCTTGAAGATGAACTCAAATTTTACCTACCTTTTCATTAGCCATTGCATGATACCACCAGAAGAGTCTAGTAGTGATGTAGTAAGCTATAATAACATCCACGGTATAGTGTTCGTGAGCTACTAAAATACAAATGACCCCCGCAGCACTCAGCAGCCAGCAGAATAAGTGATACCACCAAAAGTGACGAGGGGAATCTGCAAGAGAAAACATGAAAAGTTCCACATGCAAATTAATCTCACAATCACTGGAAAGCCCACATTTCCTATGAAAGCTTTTGCTACAAACATCTATTTCAAAGACTCCAGTGGTTAGATCCCTGTACTTGAGTTCCCAAGCAGCCTACACACCTGCCAAAGCAATAGCTACAATGAGTCCAACTCTTCCCATCGGATATTTATTAACTTTAATTTTTCATGTCATGGACACAGCAGGAGGAGCAGTATAAACACCTCAAGACACAGAATAACGAAAACAAGTTATAGAACAGAAGAAAGGAGGACATGCTAAAATGAAAATGTATGAGGCCAAATGGAATTTTCAGCATGCTCAACTAATTCCAGTGGATAGATAAAAAAAGCCTTCTTGATATCTTCTAAAAGTGTTGTGAAAATGATTACTTCACAGACACAGCTCTTTGTTCTAGAAAAAATGAATCTATAAAAAGAAATCATTACATCATTTTATATCTTCCGCCTTACAGCAGAGATAAGTGGCTTGACCCACAAAGTAATATTCTTGTAATGGTACAGGATACAGAGTTAATGGTGTTTTGGTTTTTAGAAGCAACGTTTTGGAAGAAATCGGGTCAATGCTCAAATTATTTTTTTCAATGGTATATACTATTTGCTATTTAGTTAATAAAAAAAAAAAACATTTAAAGCTGGAAATGTTACAACACAGATTTGTACTAGATCACAGAAGATATTGTTATGTGTGTTTACAATGAATGCACTACTTCAAAGCAGATCTTACAATATAATGCAAGGTCCTTCCTCTCTACCCTTTACAAATCGCCACATCAAAGTTGTAAGAAAAAACACCAGTAAGAAAATATATTAATACACTCTAGGCTTTCCACAGCACTTAGGCGAGGGTGATGTCACAGTCTTTCTGGGGAGATTCTGGGAAACCTGAGAATATAAAATCTTCCTGTACTGGAGTGTCTTTGTGTAAAATTTGGGGTCCTCTGTAAATTTTCTAATTTATTTAATAGGGTTTTTTTACATCTCTAAAGCTGAACTCCAGTTACCGTACATTCTAAATATTGCTCAAATCAATTTTTGAATGTGTACTGGGGAAGGTCTGCCACAAATGTTCAATTCACTTAAAGGTCTTTTTAAATATTTGATGGTTAAGCGTACCAAATACTCCCAACATGTTTTGGGGAAAAAACTACTCTTGAGCAGTCAATATTAAGCTAAACCCAGGAGCCTGCATTCACTATATCTGCTCTCCTACAGTACAAAAACATGGAAATGCAATTATTTTAGTAAATATAAACTGCTAAATGCCTTTTCTCATCAGACATTAGAGCAGTCTTGTGACTTCTATCAGTGTCGAGTCCAGCACTAGCTAAAGCTTGTAGGAGGAGTTTTCTTTCTGCTCTAGGAGGATGCAGAACCCCTGATCTCTGTCTGACTAATGCTGATTGGCCCTGTGCTGATCACATGCACTCTCCTAAGAAAGAAAAAAACACTCTATCGATGCACAACTAATTGAGCATGTGCAAATGCCTACGAATCAGTCTGTCTTATCAGGAGATAAGAGGTGGTCGCTTGCAAAAGGGGAGGAACAGAGAAGAAAGGATCACACAGCCTTTTTACACAATGCAGAGGATTAACCCCTTAGGTTCCACAGTGAGTATAACAAGCTTGGTTTATTGCATGTACAGACTGATTTTAACACTTTATCAGAATCATAATGGAATGCACTAGGGGACCTGTGTTAAAGCTTGATAAAGTCTAGTAACTCATAATGGCACAAGAGCTGTTGATTGTGAAATGAATGGCACAGCAGTAATTTTTTAAAGGTTAAGTTCACCTTTCATAACATGTTACACCCATATTCAGGGTGTAACATGTAACATGTGTTGAAAGCACCGGTCTTGAAAGCGGGGGATCCCCCCCTTGCTAGCTGTCAAACGTAAAAATATGTCCATTTTGGGCTCCCAACTGATCACTCATCTGTGATGAGAATCTATAAGTCCCTACATCCTTAGCGGCTGTAGGCTTGTAGTTCTTAATGAATCACCACGGTGCTGTGGTAGTTCATTGAATCTGTCAGTATAACTGCTTGCCCGTGCATCCCGTAGAGACAAGAACATATATTGACAGATCTGCAGGAGACCTGCATGGCACCAGCAATCTACTGATTGCTGGTGCAATGCTTTACAGGCTCCCGCAGCAAAAAATAATAAATGCACATTTTTTACCTGCACAAAAATGTGCATTTATTATTTTTTACCTGCACAAAAATGTGCATTTATTATTTTTTACCAAAAGGTGAACTTATTCTTTAACTTACATGTTGTGTTCAAAGAGATAATCTTCTTCAACTCTTTGACTTCATCACAGGGATCCAAAAAAATCTGTGCAAAAGGGACAGTCAGGAGGAGGCATCTGCTGGGCACCCTATTTCCAAAGTGACATAGTCCACCCTGCAGTACTACATATAAAAAGTCCTTCTGCCTATACACAGTTCCAGGCTGGCTCTAGGTAGGAGTAGGTGCTGTGGTTGGGTGTGTAGATAATGAAAGAGAAGCAACGCTAGCACATACTTGCCAGCAGTCTACAAGTAACCGAACTTCACAAGCAGGAGAAACACTCTAGACAGCATAAATAATACATCAAAGACACTAGTGGGGCAATTTGCAGTCCATAGCTGGGATGTCCTGGCATCATCTGATATCTGAATATACAGCACTGTACAATGCAGCTGCTCCTGTTTGTATACATATGATGAAAGCCAAAATTAGTCCCTCTCATTGTATACAGTATACTGCATTGCTTCTGTGTGAAGGGTTAACCTGTGCTGCCTCCCTGTGTAAAATTGTGCCTCCCTACACTGTGTGCATGAATAGAAGTACATAACCCTGTAGCCCAAGACACGCTGAGGGTTTTAATGCTACTTAAGTTGACCATACACAGCTCAAATTTTTTTATGATTTCTGCATAATCAGTAGAAATTCGAGTCGTGGATGGCCCTGTTGGCACTGCCTGGCTTGATGTATTTTGTTTAAAAAATTGAAGGAGTCTGATGTAAAACGGTCATATGAACATTGCAGTTATCGGTCTGTCTATCTATCTATCTATCTATCTATCTATCTATCTATCTATCTATCTATCTATCTATCTATCTATCCATATATGGAAAGCCATATATGATTAGCATTATCTGTGCCTTTCTTTGTGTACATTAAATCAATCTCCCAGTATTTTTAATATTTAATGTAGAACATTATATATTTTCTGAACACAGAGGCCCTGTAGAATAAAAAGGTGATAGCTGCAAATTTTCGTGTCACATGATGTTTGTACAGTTGTTTATTAAATGAAAAGTTTCATCAAAAAATCTAAAAAAAAATTAATTTTAGTGCAAAAACACACAATAGAATACCCATTTTTTTTTTTAAATATAAAAGTTGAGGTTGTATTGAGTAAATAGATACCAAACATTCCATGTCTTGAAACTGTGCATGCCCGTGATATTGCCAAAAACTATAGTGCCCAAATATTACCATAGGTAACGCTTTAAAAGCCTGTGCAGCTCATCAGTCTAGCGTTAACAAGGAGCTTTTGTGCTAGAATTATTATTCTCACTCTGACATTCAGGGCGATTTGTCACACGTGTGGTGCGACTACAGATTACATACATGAGCACAGTCTGGGATTGTGTTTGCTCAGGTGTGCAGGGCAACGGGGGTTATAGCAATGTTATTTTTTTAAATTTTAATATATTTTATTATAAATGTATTTTTTTCTTTATTTTTACTTGATTGCTATCACAAGGGGTTAATAAACGTCTGTGTGATAGCACTGGGCAGGTGACAAGTGCTCTTTATGGAGACATTAGGTGTCTAATAGACCCCAATGTCTCCCCTGCACAAATGTGTTTCCCTGGCTGTACTGGCCATGGAAATGGTACATCTGAAACTGGAAGTGACATAATTTCCGGTTTCATTTTTGCATTTGAGATTGAGGCATGAATTTGCCCTGGTCTCACAATACTCTCCCTCCCCTAGCCGGCGGTAGTGTTCCTGGGCTCCAGTAACAGTGGGATAGCCTGGGAACCACGGGAGGAGGGGGGTCTGCCGGCAGAGGGGGCTCTGTGACAGTGATCAATAGCCATCAGCTTTTGATTAAAGGTTCACTCTTTGGACGTCCAAAGAACTGACCCGGTTAATGTAGCAATTTGATTGCCTTTTAGTGCAGGTTACAGTCACGTTAGACCCGGTTCTTAGACTTGCAGTAAGAGAAGACCAGTGAAGCACACTTAGGGGTAGATTTACTAAAACTGGAGAGAACAAAATCTGGTGCAGCTGTGCATGGTTGCCAATCAGCTTCTAACTTCAGCTTGTTCAGTTAAGCTTTAACAATAAAAACTAGAAGCTGATTGGTTTCTATGCAGAGCTGCACCAGATATTGCACTCTTAAGTTTTAGTAAATCAACCCCTGAGTATAAACTTAAAAAGTCTGTATGTCACTGCCGGGTGACTCAAAGATATAAAGTACTATCCTGGTATACTGTTTATTTTCTAACCAAATTTTGTACTTGTACCATGGAACAACTCTGATGAGATAAAAACCTTCAATAAAAACTAATGAACAGAAAAAAAGCCTGCATATGTGATCAGTAAATTTGACTGCAACCACAGTCTATATAATCTATACTATAAATTATATTCAGAATCATTGTTCTTTTTTTAAACATATTAGCCAATGATAGTTCCTAGATTGTAAGCTCGTAAGAGTAGGGCCCTCTTACCCCTCGTACGCTGTCTGTCTTTGTTGTACTGTGCCATGTATTGTCCCCCCCTATATTGTACAGCGCTGAGCAAACCCTTTGGCGCTATATAAACTCGTAGTAATAATAAAATAATAATAATAATAGTTATTGATATTAAACCAATCCCCAACACATACATATCTAAAAACACTGTAAAAAGACTAAAGTTTCCCTTTATTAATGCACTGTTCAAAACCAAAAAAAAGGTCAAATAACCATGGGTATGGTGAAGACGGATTAAGAGATCCCTCTAGCAGGAATATCCTACATACCCCATTTTAGGAAGGGGTCAACAAAGTATCCCAAAATGGCTTTCTTGAGCAAGTGCAGATAAAAACATCTATTGACAGCCATTTATAGATCCTAATGTGTTTATGTACTAAAAGCTTCTCTTTATTGTTTTTGATGGAGTAGGGAAAAATTAGAACCCCTGTTAAGTTTTTATTGCGGTCTGTGCCCTGCTGGGAAGATCTATCCTCTATCTCCCAGATTGTAAGCTCGAAAGAGTAGGGCCCTCAAACCCCTCGTGTATTTTTTTGTTACTGTATTGTCTCATGTACTGTCCCCCACTATAATGTACAGCGCTGAGCAAACCTTTTGGCGCTATATAAATACTGTATAATAATAATAATAATCTGTCCTTGGAGTCCATTGTCCCCAAGGAAGATAGTGATGGAAATCCAAATTTTCTCAGCTGCTATCAGAACAAGAGCTAATGCTAGATCTTTAAGTGGGGATACCTGTTGTGGTGACAGCTATCTAACGGGTATTCTCTTTACTTTGTAGAGATCCTTTCACTTCTATTGTGTCTCTGGTACAAGTGGAGGAAATAGTCCTCAAAACAAACAGTGACAATAAAAATAAAAAAGGTTTCAGCAATATATACACTTTAAAAAAAGAAGTAAACATAAACCACATTAAAATGTTACACTTGACAACAAATACAATATATAAACTTACATTCTTTGATAAATAAATAGGTGAGGGTCAGCATGACTGTGTGTCCGCTGTAAAGAAAGTCTCCACATAAGATATGAGATCCAGTGATAGTCAGGCCACCCCCAGTTAACAGTCGCAGGATTCTTTGTGCTTTACCGTAAGAATCTCCATTGAGCTGAAAGATATTAAAAGTATAAATTAATCACTATATCAGATTAGGCATATGTAAAAAAAGACAAAATCTGAACCCTAATATTTTAAAATGAATAAACTTGATTTAATATTTTTTTTTAAACTTCCGTATACAAGCTATGGCCATTTAGGTGTATTTTATGCAACATAGCCCACAGCATCACAATTATTTGCCAATAAGGCAAGGTCTAGTTGCATGGACTGTTTAACAAGAAGACTTTATTAACCCATAGTCCACCTAAATTCTGCAAAATGCTAGACCATTCTTGGACAATAGTCTATCACAAAACCAACAATATACAACCAGGACCACCAAGACTTGGTTGATGCTGTATGAAATTTTTGAAGCCTTGGGCTTCAACCAGGGTTCCACCAGAGGTTGCTAAGGATTCTTTTTGCTGTGACTTGCTAACCTCCAATTTGATGGTGCCTTCAGTGTCCAGGGGTCAATTCCACTTGGCAGAGCTAGGTGCATGACCCCAGAGATCTTTTTAGCTGTCTGGGAAGGTGGCATTGGGACCACTGCTGTAAGGGAGATATTTTTATCACTATCAATACAAGGGGCATTTTCTCATGGGTCACCAATGAATTGGTTATTACAGGGGTTCCCTGAGACCTGGAAATTATATCAAGGGTCTCTCTGGGGTACAAAAGTTTTAGAAAGGTCAGACTAAACAGTCAGTGTACAGACTCTTCTGTTGTATACAGTATAAACATTGATATACACATACTGTAAGCCCCAATAATCAATTTGTCTGTATATCCTATAGAAATAGTACTTTTTTATCTTTTAAACTGCCCTGAAAAAATGTCAAGTGAAATCTGACTGAATCCTGCGGGCAACACGCTTTACATCCAGACACCTGATATGTATTTGGAATTCTCTAGTTTGGAATGTTGGCAGCAAACAGGTTTGTCAAGGCAGTAGCAGCATGTAGAACCTGCCCTGCTATCTTTTATATCTCTGTGGATAAACTGATTTGCTGTTAGTTGAAGTTGAACATGCTTTCCAATCTTTGTACCTAAAAAAAGGAATGCAAATTGATAGCAAAAGCTGAAATCTGACAAAAAATAGCAGTTCTTACTAAGCTGAATTTTTAAACAGCTATTTTCACAGCTTCCTTTAGCTATAATGTGAACGGGTATATCCTTAGTCATTTCATCTGACTACTGTTAACTAAGCTTCAAGACACATTTACCTCGAACTACCTGCATAAGTAGCCCACCGAAAGGCAGAAAGAGCCTCTAGTTTTAAAGCTTTTGGCAGAATATATATTTTGCAACAGCTATTGACTGTTCTACTATTTCCTGGTGGAACTTTTTTCATACAATTGGTTCTAATGATCAATACAGTATGCTAGAATCTTAAACTTTGAGACTACAGCAGTAGCAAGGACTGGACAACCATAGCCACTAACAATAGAACAAAATTATAGGTTGACTGTCTGAAGCCACTAAATTATTAGCAGATCCTCCAGAGAGATTGCTTATCACCATGGTCTGCATAGGTTTTTTGCTGGGTCTGATTGCCTCCACAATGGTGGTTGGTGCAGGTAATTTGAACATTGACCTTGATTTCTGCTTTGTTTAGGTATATTTACATTTTATACAGGCTCCATAAAAGTCATAATGCTTATATACTTACAATAAGCATTTGTTGTTTTTGCAATTATTTAATGCCCAATATGAGTCTTATGGAAAAAGAAGACACAGTTAAACCAGTCTGCTAAGTTCTGTTGAAAAGCACAGGGAGGGGCAGGTGAGTGTTCAAACAACTATTTTATCAATCTCAAAACAGTAATACTGCTCCAGGTTGATCTACCCTTACCTGCAATCCACAACTAGGTGCAGGTCCAGCTCACCACTGAGTATTGTATGTCAATCCAACAATGGATGGCTGAACAATGTAGCTTTTGATGCAAACTCATTTAATAGGCAACATATAGCCAGCAAAAGGGACTAACACATTTCATACTAAAAATCATTTACTGTATGATTAAAGTGTTACTAAACCTACAACTGTAAAATCAGTCTGTATATGCAGTAAAGCATGCTTGTTACACTCTCTGTTGAACCTAAGGGGTTAATCTTCTGCATTGTGTAAAAAACGCCATTTGATCCTGACTTCTCTGATCCTTCCCTTCTTCTGGTGTCTCCCTCTTTGCTCCTGATAAGACATATCGTGTGGAGTCACTCTGCACATGCTCGGTTTGGTGTGTATTGCTAGAGAGGTTTTTTTCTTTTCTTGGGAGAGTGCATGTGATCGGCACAGGGCCAATCAGCACTGTTCAGACAGCGGTCAGGGGTTCTGCAACCTCCTAGAGCAACATTTCAACTCCTCCTACAAGCTTTAATCAGTGCTCGGCTGGACACGGATAGAAGGCATAAGACTGCTCTAACTGCTGATGAGAAAAGGTATTTAGCAGTTTATATTTCCAAAAATAATTGCGCTTCCATGTTCTGTGTACTGTGGGAGAGCAGATATAGGGAATGCAGGGTCCTGGGTTTAGTAACACCTTAAATGCTTTTTAGCTTGGATTGGATTAGAGACCCGTGTCTTCATTTGTTGTTCATTTGAACTATATCTTGACTCACTGAAGGTATGAGAGCCGACATTTCTATTTTACCAGTCAGAAGCATTCTAATATTATATATACAAAATGTAATGTGTAGCTTTTCCTTTTAAAAATCGGAAAAAAAAAACTTACTTTTGGAGCACATTGAAAGTGCAAACCAGGCACAGGTAGGGTTGTGACATACATTGTTATACATCTATATAGGTACAAAGTCCCGATGATGAAAAAATACCTTCTCCCCACGATTGATCTGTAAATAGAAACAGAAGAAAAACAAGCATTTAGAACTTTGCTGATCTCGGAGTTCTCAACTAAAATGTCTTCCTCCCCTTTTCCCTGTACTACTCTGGATATCAAAGTGAGGGTAATCAGGTGGAAGTACAGAGCCATCGAGGTGACCTGCTACTCGTGCCTCAACCAATAAATTCTTTCAACTCTTAATGACTGAGCATTTCCACAGCCTGCACCACTTAGAGGTGCTTTTTTGCTGAAAGATGCAGCCCAGGTTCTGAAACCCACTAAAACATTTGGACCAAACATGTGGAGGTTTTCTCCTTCAGGCTTAAAGCTGCATGCACATGCAGTATATGCATTTTGGCAATGCATGGGTGGATCTGCACCCAGAACATCTGATATACTGCCAATAAAAATCCCAATTTATATAGTAATTCAAAACATTCCTGCTTTTAAAGGGGAACAATGCACATAAAGCAATGCTCCTCCGTGCATTACAGTGCACTTTGTTGACAAAAATAGTGGGCATTTTCCTTATGTTTAGGGGAATGTACAGCCCATTCAAAATAAACACAATATTATAACTCTATGGTAGTTTTACATTTTTGCACTGATAATGTGCTGTTAAAGCACTGTAGAGCCACCTTAGAACAGTAGGTATTTACAGGTCTCATTCCATCACATATCCTCAATATAATGGTGTTGTTACTCACTTTAGGATAAAACAAAAATCATTCCTCGATTCCCCATGAGCTACTGGACATCCAGTACCTCTGGTTTATCGCACAGATAAAACCCATTGCTCCCAACTGTCCCCGATCTCGAAGGACTGTCCCTGATTTGGAACAAAGTCCCTCTGTTGCTCTTTCCTGCTCATCTGCACCTTATTTTGGTCTGATCTATATAGTTGTATATAAAATGATCTATTTATCTAAATTGTTTCACAACGCTAAACCTTTCATCCAAATTCTAAATTTGCATCTGTAAATTTAAAAAGCCAGTATAAAGGAATAGTAATGGTATAAAAAAAAGCACTTGTGGGTTTTAAATTATTTTTTTTTTTGTATAATTCTCCTTTAAGGGGGCATGGCAGGGGGGTATGTACATACTTTTACTAATAGGTGTTCCCATTTTAAAAAGGCTGGGAGGTATGAAACCTAATACAGGCATACCTCGGATTACAAAGGCCTCGGTTAACGTAATTTTTGGTTTACGAAATAAAAATCCATTGAAAATAATGCCTTGGTTTACAAATTTTTTTTCGCAATACGAATGGATTAATTGGTTTTCAATGCATTTACGTTTTGTTTTTTCAATCATGTCCCTGTACAGTATTATGCCTTTAAAGTGCACTTTATAAACAGTTTTGAACAGATAAGACTTTTTTTTTACTTTTTTCTGACCTCCGGAATGATTTAATTGCCTTTCAATGCATTTATGAATTTTTTTTTAATCATGTCCCTTTATGCCTTTAAAGTGCACTTTATGAAGAGTTTTGTACAGATAAAAAATACTTTTTTTTTTACTTTTTTTTCTGACCTCCGGAACAGATTAATTGGTTTTCAATGCATTCCTATGGGAAACCGTGTTTCCGAATTTTCCGCATTACGCAAAGTCCCGCAGAACGCATTAAATTCGGAAACCGAGGTACACCTGTATTATAGAGCCATTTATTACAAACTGCATACAGCTGTTTCAGCTATGTTGACCACTATTAGCACAGAGCATGGAAACAATAGCTTCTGTGAAGTTGGGTGGGCCACAAAGAACCTCCAGTGAACCAGTGCAAAACAGCAGGGCCTTCTTAGCATAATCGTTGTCTTAATATCCTATTCCATCGCTAATCCCAAAAATAAAGGGGTTATTTTATACCATACTATTTTAGGATTATATTAATCAGTGAGTCTGGATGCACAGCTGGCCAAGAAGCATTCAGCATACCACTATCCAAAAATGCAGAATATGCAATGGAATGAGACATGTTATTTTCCAAGAAGATTCTACCATGCTTTGCTACTGGTGAAGTGGAGGGCTTTTCAGTTTACTTTTGGCCTACCTCACCAAAACGCATAGCATTATTTTGTATCTCCTGAAAAGGTGGGGTTTAAAATTTGAGAACATCTCTTTATCCCTTCTCTGTTAAAAAGACTGCTTGTAATCTACGAACTACTAAAATACCAAAGTCCTAATATGAGCAAAGAAATTCAGGAGCCAGCCAGCCTGAGTTAGGAGCCAGCAGACACATTTACGGTACTTATTCTTCTACTCAAAACCTTCACAAAATGTAGGTATAAGCAAAAATAAAAAAAATCATAGGACCTGTTATTGAGACATTTAATTTTATTATGGCATACTGATGATTAAATGAACCAGTTAAGCTTGTGGATTTTTTTGTGCTTGGATCAAAGCTTTAGTTTGAAAAATGATACTCAGTGTTTCTGGCAAGCTCCAGCAATATGTTTATGTACTAATAAGGCATTCCACAGAACACCTATTTCTTTAAAAACGTTAAGTGCCAGCTTATGTCCAATCGAGCTTGACTACAATAAGCAGTAGTAGGAAAAAGTGTGTGGCTATCTGGAGGGCTCAATACTACTGATGCCAGCTCCTAAGTAAAGTGCTTTGGAATTTAATCCCTGCTTTTTTTTTGCCAAATGTAAACTATGTATGTTCATGTAATAGAAGACGTTAAACTCTCCACTTTAAAATATTTTGCACTGCACTGTCAAAATTGGAAAGCTAAAAAGCAGAGATTACAATTAGATATATAAATGTGTCACTCTGTTTTTCTATAGTCTTTGGAAACTCCTATCTATGCAAATCTTTAGAATTTTGTCTGCCAGATCTGATTTTTTAATTTTCTGCACACATGATGAAATGCACATTTTAGGCCTGATATGGTTTTAAAACCCTAAGAATAACATATTTTCGGGAAGCAGAAACCCTGGAGAATAAGTCTAAATTCACATGGATATATTTAGGCATAAAATATGTCTAGTGTAAAAAACTAGGCATATTTGGATCAATAGCTGTGTAGTCGACCACAGAAGTGAATTACCGTATGACCCTGTTCTGGTGAGAACACCAATGCTGCTCTGCATCAACATTTACCTGCGAATGCACATGGCATAGTTTACCGAACTTGGAGGTGGTGCGTTCAGGAATAACATCATAGTGCTTACGCAGGTACATGCATTCCTGTTTATGGCTGGCTATATGCCCCACCTGTGGCTCTCCAGCAATGGGAAAAGACGTAATGCGTTTTTTTTTTTAGGCTAGGCATATTTTATCCCTAATGGTGTCTGTGTGCACAAGGCCTAAAATGGTGGTAGTTGCAATTTTTTTTAAAGTGACATGATAACTGTGTACACTTATCAAACCCATATTTCAGTAAAAAATAAAGTTAAGCTTAGTGCAAACAAACACAACATATTATCCAAATGTTGGTAAAATAGAGGAGGTAAATAGATACCAAACATGTTAAACCCTAAAATTGTTCAAGACCATGAAACAGCAGCAAAATGATCCATTGGTGATGTATAAAAGACTTTACAGGTTATCGGTTTGGAGTTAATTATTGTTCTCACTCTGACATTTGCAGTGATACCCATGTGTGGCACAGTCATCGCTTTCACACGTAGGTGCACCATTATGTTTGTATGCATGTACAGGGGGGCAGATAGCTTTAAAATCTCTTTTATTATATGTTGCTTTAATTTTTTTTTACACGTACACAAAATATTGCTATTACACAGGATGTAATAACCACCATGTGATAGCACAATAGAAATGTCTGGTTCTCTTTAAGGAGGTATCAGAATTCTAATCAGGGTCGGTGCCAGCATGTAGGCTGCTTAGCCAGTTGTATTAGGGTGCCAGGATGGGGACGGAGCAGTAAAATCCAAATCTCCAGACCCTGGGAAAAGGTAGAGTGGCGGTGATCGATCCCGCATTTCAGCAGAAGGGAAAGGCTGGCTGGCGGTGCTTGGCCTGTGTGTGATCGTGTTCAACTGTGGAGCATGGGAGCTGTATTAGAGATCATCCTCCTATAACAGTAAACCCCTTCCCCCTTCCCCGGGCTGTCTCTGCCGATCTCCTCAGCTCTATTCTCCTTCGGGTGAGGTTGCTGCCAGCTCCTGTAGAGGAGGACAGGCAGAATGTTGCGCTCTGTGCTGCAACCCAGTCAAGAGAAGCTGGCCAACAAACTCACCATCCTCAATGACCGAGGGGGTCGGCATGCTCACCCAGCTCTACAACATCAAGTAGGTAAACTGGGGTGGCTGGGGATCTACAATTGAGACTCTTCACCTAATAAATTAAGTGAAGATTCACTTCAATTATACAGTCATGTGAAAAGCAAACACCTATTTATTTCATCTGTGCATGATTGTGTATTCAAAGTAAACAGAGCTATACTTTATCAAATAAAGAATCTCAACTCCTTTAGTAAATTAGCCTTAATAATTTGCAGGGTATCCACATACCTTTTGCTGTTTTGTGTGGGTATCCACATACCTTTTGCTGTTTTGTGTAGGTAAGTACCATACATTCTTTGACCCTACCCCTTGTCAGGTATTTGCAAATCTCCAATGTCTTCTTTAACCATTTGTCTACTAGCATCATTTATAATTAGTAGCTGGTATCAAAAGCTTTTTAGGCACACTCCCAGCTGCCAGGACATTTGTTATAATTATCAAACCAATGTGAAGTCACCTAGTTACCACAGCAAAGATAGTTTAGATTTCTCATCATGCAGTGCAATCTCCTATCATCACTGAGACATCCAGATCTAGTAGAGTGATCACTATACAGATGTGACAGGTGTGTGAGGGCTGGGTCTAACAGCAATCACCGGGCAGGACGGACAGAACCCTGGACCCTTCATCTCCATGTACTCTATGTCCGGCCAGTGATCGGGGATGGTAGATCAGGGATTTGTACAATCAAGGAGGATTTCCTCTTCCTTCCACTCCTCCCTGCAGCTGGGCTCCTCATCTTGCACCACAGGATGTGTTCCCTCCATCACCTGAGGCACAGTCAGGGCATCTTTGTCCCTGGTCCCAGATGTCCCCCACTCTGTCAGGGCCTTGTCTGAGTTCAAATGCATGAAACCATGTTTATAAAGAAATGATTTGATTAACTTGGTGTGAAGGAACTTGAGTGGTCTGCAAGGAGCCCTGTCACAAACCCTACCAAACACCTATTAGGAATTAACACATTGTGAGCTAGGTCTTCCTGTCCAACATCAGGACCTAACTTTACAAATGTTCCTTTGGCTGAATGGGTGTAAAATCACACAGACACACTCAGAAATCATGTGGAAAGCCTACCCAGAAGGAATGGAGACTGTTAAAGCAACCTTTTAGTAATTCCAAATTATTTTTGAATGGGATCTCCAAAAAGCTCATAAAGGTGTGACGGTTGGGTGTCCATATACATTTGGTCATATACTGTAGTGTACAGGTTGGGAGTTGTTGTACTCACTGCTACTGAGAACTCTATTTTGACATCTGTTGTAGCCACTGTCAGCATTATAGCTCAGTCAAATTACACCACTAGTTTGTTAATTCTACAAAAATTTTAATTTTTCAGAACATTTCAGGAAATATTTTGCACTTGGGTACCTACTTGTATCTGAGGAAAAGCCATTGAAGTAGCCAGATTCCAACCAGAATCATCCCACTTATCTCTGATACAGTAAAGGCCCATGTCACTCGATCAATATAGTCAAAGAACTTGTCTGGCAATGGTGGGTTTACCTCCTTAGGCGGGACTCTTTCATGAACTACTGTTATCATGACTGTGGTTAGAACCATATTAAAAAGAGCATAGACAAAGGCAATTCCTGTTTTCCACCATTCTAGAGGAAATTTGTTTTTAGAGTCTGCTGGTATTGCTATTTGAATATAGTCTGGATATTTCTTTGTTCCCTTCCTCAAACCGTTGGGAAGGCCTTTGGCTTTTGTCCTAACCGTTTTGTCATCTTCACTGTTTGAAGAAACGGATCTTGGAAATCCATTTTGTGTTTCACTGTGCGGAACTTCTGTGTGTACTTCAATGTTTGTAGTCTCAATAGCATCCATCGGGGCAACAGTAATATGTGACAAGAGTTTCCTTTTTAGTGATATAAAATATCCAAGAACAAATTTGTAGCAGTTTAAGGTAGATAAACAGCACAAGGATTTAGAGATGCTCTTAGATTTCAGGCTTTGTATGGCATCATCTGTAAAAGAAATAGAAACACTTTGTTTAGCATTTAAATTCTTTATAGTGTTATTCCCACAGTTGTCTCTAGTACATACCCCATACTGCAGAAAAGCATGTACAGTGGTTTTGTGGCATTTTTGTTGCATTTTGAATCTGCCTAGCAACAAGAAAAAAAAACCAAAAGAACGCAAAGCACATAAAAAATGCAGCAAAATATGCAGGTGCAAAAACGCAATGCAGAAACAGATCAAATGCAAACTGCATAGGTGTGGACCTAGTCTTAGGCAGGAGCAACTACCCCACTATTAAGATTCCCCCTCTTTACCTGCTCTCGTGGCATCTCAAAATGTTGGATTTACCTTTACTTTCATTCCTGGGGATATTGTTGATCAGGATAGTTAAAGAATTTACATTAACTATATATTGCAGATCAGCATTTTGGCCACATTAAAGTATTAATCACAGATTCGTCTTTCTAGAGCAGCACAACGGGTCTCCTTTAACCTGATTTAGAAAATGCTAGTTTACTAATCCCTTTCCTTTGTTATTGTTCTTTGACCTGAACCCATACAGACCTTCACAGCTTGATGAATAACTACTCTTGGCTACAATACAAATAAAGAATTGAAACAATAAAAATGGAAAAATGCATCAAACCTTCCCAGGGAAAATGTTACAATGTAGAAGTAAAAGGATGCATAGGGTTCACTTACCAGGTGTTGCACTTCTCAAGTACCCCAATTTTGGCATGTTTCAGAACCTTCATTACTCTTACACAGATTGCCTAATCAGTGCCACCAATCTCAGCTATTGTTACAATGTCAAACCCGATGAGGGTACTTGAAGACTTGATTTACAAGACATAGTCATGTTTGAAACAACACTCATCCCTTCATCTGCAACAATGTTCCAAACCACCTACACTCATCATCAAGTTCTGTTAGGGTGCTGACTCCTGTAGCCCATCTCTGCTTCCAAAGAAGCATAGAAAAAGTTGAGTCACACTCCGTCTTAAAGTTTTCATATTGTTTTATTTCATGGAAGCCAAAGTGAATGCATACATTCTGTCTCCAGCCAACATACCTCACTCCCTAAACACATTTCACCTCTAAGGGCTGGCTCACAGGGATTAGAGTAGGTACCTAGTTTTTCTTCGGCATTACATTCAATGAATATTACATGCAGTACTTTGATAATATCAGAGGCCACATTTGAGGCTCCCTATATGAAGAAAGTTGACCACAACTGATGTCCACTCACTGTCACTTATTCTAGTACTTAGTAATATAAACAAGCAATGTCAGATTATCTACTAATGAATTAACAGTTTAAAATTCTAAAATATCCTCTATAAAATAGTACATATTTCCTTTCCTTCCAACTCTTGTCATTATCCAAATTAGCAGCTGGTATGGGAAGAATGTGTGGTACTCTAAAGTACAGGTGAGCTATCCAGGCTTCTGTCATGCATGCTGGAATCTTATAGCAGTGCAAGGAAAGCACAGGAGAACCACTCCTGGGACGAAGGAAAAAAGTAGCACAGAGTTATAATACACACAAATCCACTTTTCCATGTAGCACCCTCCTAGTTAGGTGCTAGATATAGATTTAGTATATGTGGAAAATTTAGTTGCCACACTGTAGTCAGTGTGGCTGTGATTGTTAGGTAAAGGCAAAGTTTGTTCACTGTATTCAGTTAAACTGAATTCTGCTAGCAAGGTCTGCTTAGTGTGGTCAGTTACTGCCAATCGGATAGCTCCCTCCACATCCAGGGAGCTTGAGAAGTTTCTGGATGATAGACATGGAGCTATGCAGGTGGTAGCATGAATATAGATACAGCCCTGGACTATCCCATAAAGGCAGGCTCTGATAAGATGCTAGGAGACTTTATATATTCACTTAGCACACTAAGCTTGGGGTCTTTTCCTGGAGATGATTAGTCCAACCTGGAGGGGGCATACTGCCCTTCCAGGCAGTGCTGCTATGTCTGCTGTCATGAGACCTCAGGTGGGAGACCTGAGGACTTGGATTCTGAGATTGTGGAACTAAAAAGAGCTGACGGAGGGGGGTTGTCTGCTAAAGCTCTGGTCTGGTATCTGGACGCTTGGAAGTTGAAAGGAGGTAACCAGCTGTCCTTGCACATGGTGTGAATACAGGCACTTCTAAGAGATTTTGGGGACCTTTGTGCTTTGCCACCCCTCTGGTGCTAGGGAGTCAGCTATGGGTCTAGTTAACAGGGACTCCGGCTGGTGTCCTGAAGAGGTTTGTCCATCTAATCTTCCACTTAAAGGAACTTTGCTGTTGTGGCTCTAAGAATAATTTACAAAATGCTGCTGCTGCTGCTGCTGCTGCTGCTGCCGCCGCCACCACCGCCGCCGCCACCTTAAAGCTGTCTACTGTTTGCTACAAGCAAATACTTTAATATAGCTTGTCTTGAAGAATACCTAAGCCATCAAGTTGTACATCGTTCTTGTTTTTGGAGTATCTCACCTAATTCCCTCAACCCTATCCAAGTCCAAAAATAAAAACAACGCCCCTTGACTGGTCACTGAAGAAACATGTGAGTGAGCCTGTGTATCTGCTGGTTGCGGGGCAAAGCTTGTGCAGAAGACCTGAACACACAAAAGGGGAAGTTCCGCTTTATGGGATGTGTTCGTCAGTAAGGAGAACATTGAGGGTACAGCATGTGTATACTCCTTTCCACTGACTTTGCAGTTTAAGGAGTGGGTGGAGGGCAGTTTGAGGGGGTAAAAACGTGGCTCAGCCATGTGTTCTTACAGCTTCAAACGCAAATGTAAACAAGGTCTTAAACGTTATTCTTAGAGAGTTAGATGAGGGTAATAAAGCAGCTGTATGTACTAGCTGATTGGAAACATTAGTGCATTTAGATGAGTCATACCTCTGCTACATCAGTCTAGGCCTGCAGGAACAGATATGCAATTCACATTTCAATTTACTAGCAAATGTATGTCCATTTGAGCACAAGAGGGATTGCTGGTCGAATAAAAGATACTATACTTGTGGAACAAGCAGGGAGTGTACTAAGTATTTAACCTCTTGCCGACCATGCTATAGCTGAATGATGGCTACGCCGCGATCATCCAGTTCTGGGAGGGCTCTACTGACGTCTTCCCAGAACCCCGCCCTCCTGCGCACCCTTGTGGCACGCTCTGTGATCGAGGTAAAAAGGACAATCATAGCGGCACCATGTGGTCTCCTGTGTCCAGTCACAGCTGATTACATTGTAAATAGGATTTGCCAGTCTTCTCCTCACTCAACGTAAGCGGCAATCCACACAGGGGACATCTACACTGATAATCAGGGCACTGGCACTATTGTTGCTGGCTGTGAGGTATCTATTGTTGCTGGCAGGGGAATATTGTTTTTGGGTGGATCTATTGCTACTGGGGAGGGTCTATTGTTGCTGGCTGCGGGGGATCTATTTTTCTTTTAACAAAACCCTTACAAACTACTTAGCACCACATAATGAATGGTTCCGTATTCTCTAAAAGTGAAAATATTGGGAGGTGGGTAGGGGGGCAGAACCAAGGGATGGAGATCGGAGGTGGCTAGGGGGCGGAGACAAGGGTGACTTAGGGGGGGGGGGGGGGTACCGTCACCTATTGTCAGAGAAAAAAAAGGCCTGATGTTATGTCTTTACTGAATCCATATACATAACAAAACAAGCAGGCGGGAGGCATGGGTTATGAGTCACTCAGCTGTGTGCATATTGATACTTTTCCACTGTCCACAACAAGCAATTTTCAGGCAAGCAGTTAAGGTTATCCTGGTAAACACATTAAAAGAAGCTTTGAGCTCCACCCACTGCCTGGATTAAAATCAATATAAAAATTCATGTGTACAAGTCCATACTTACTCCATTTTAGTCCCCATAGTAATAAAAACAAACAAAAAACCCCTATAAAATTCCCATTATTGTGCTATTTATTGCAGAAAAAAAAAAAAAACACTTTCAGCGCCTTACTTTCAAAGAGACTATACAGCACTTCACTTGTTAACCAGGTATACAAATTGCTGCAATAAAAGCCTAGATAATGAATAAAACCGCCACTGGTATATCAGTACACAGGATCCCGCCCTAAGAACAAACTCTCTGGTGTTCACTGAAGGGTAATAGATAAATTACAATGAAAAAAAGGACACTACTGCCCTGATCGTTCTCTTCTTCACACGAGCTAAGGCCAAATTGTTTGTCTGGCTCCATCTTTTCCCACCAGAGTTTTAACGTAAACAGCAAATGATGCTAATGGAACATTACTCTAGTGCAATGTTCAGAAATAAAATCGTGGGGTTTTTTCAGCTTCCCAGCAATTAACCACCACACTTTCATCTTCAAATAAAGGAAACGTTTGAAACATTGTAGTGATGTATCTTATTTCTTAATGTTGCGTCAATTTTTACTTATATATGAATACAAATGAATATACCGAGCAGAAAATACTGCTGGAAAGTAAGCCAGTTTTTCAACATTTGTAATTAATCCAGGGCAGGTTGGAGAATGAACACTAAATTCCTGCTTATATGCAGTCATGTACATAAAACTATGAAAGGCATGTGATCGCACCCATTTTGAAGAATTCCACAATTTTCGCATACCTATTTTGAAATGATTTGTAAAGTACATGTTTACCCAATCACTAAAATCTCCTATAAGATTTACATGTTCATTTTTATTTCTAACGTCATTTTTTATATTTTTAAATTTACAGTTTTCATTGAAGTAATACCTTCTGTGCAAGTTCAGGCATTTCCAGTTACAGAAAGACCAAAAAAAATGGGAGTAACCATTCACTGTTCATCCAAAACAGTGCATAGCTAGCAAATAGCTAACTTTTGTGTATATGGACTTTTCACT